AGATGATAAAGGATTTGATGATCTCTAATTGAAAGAGTGTAAAGAAATGTTGTAAAAAAAAGAATTCCGATTCATATTTATAATGGACAGTTATGATGAAATGAAGCTAGAGAATATTTAGAAAAATTTATACATTAATAATAAGCTCAAATAAAATTGGTCAGACCCTCTTGTTATTTTTACCACTAGAAGTGACATTTTTACGAGCAGCAATTATGCCGACTGGTTTGTGCCTGATGATAAATAGAAATTTAAAGAAATCTAGCTACTTCAGTTTGAATAGAGTTAAAAATAAGAATATCTAAAGAAATTTACGATTTAAAGTATTAAAAAGTTAATTTTTTATATATATGAATGGTAAGCCTCAACTTAAAACCAAAAAGCTCTGGATTTTAAAAGGTTTGAACAAAGTTGGGAAAAGATATATTCATCATTTTTTAAATTTGATGAAGCAAGGTGGAAATCTGAGACTCTTTTGAATGGATTAGAAATAAAAAGTATTGTATAATATTTGAAGGATGATGAGTTAATTGCTTTAAAAAGGATTGAAGCTAGTAGAAGCTTGAGCATAAATTTACAAAAATTATGGAGTTTTAAAAAGTATGAAGATATGATGACCTTGGTAAATCTAAATAAATTAGTTGAAACTCCATATATGATGGAAATTATAGTGTAAGTGCTACCCAACATGATTCTTAAAGCTATTGAGATTATTAACATTAAATAAACCTTCTTGAAGAATTTTTCAAAGATGTTGAAAGAATTCTTCATTAGTAAATACAGAATTCAAATGTATAAATCACAACAGAAAAGGCATTTGTTTGGTATACTATACTCATAAGGATTAATAGAACTTGGAAATTATTGATTACCATTAAATTGCTTTTGAAGTTTGGAATATTTTGGAAAAAAATTTGATTCCTTAATAATTTTAAATCTCTTAAGAATCTGTAGAAGAGCATTAATAACTTGAAAATATATTTGAAATAAATCTTTTGCTACCAAATTAGATATTAAAGAAAATAAAAATTTAATAGGAAGAAATAATCTAATTTGCCAATGATGCATTAAAAGAATACAATCTTACAATTTACGACTTTTATTGTGAGTTTATCAATTATTACCATTTGAAATAAATCGAAAAACAGAGAAACTTAGGAAAATCTATAGATACTGATCGTTTTCTCCATGATCTATTAGAATACTCAATTAGATTGGCAAAAAAAATGAGTAAGAATGAGATGACATAAGTTTAATATAAGTAGCAAGGATTTTTATACTAAAACGAAAGAAAAGAAGAACAATGGCTAAACGAATTTTTTAATTATGATGATTAATATGGAGCTTATAAAAAAGATATAAGAAGTTGTTCACTTGTCTAATTAAAAGGGGCTAACTTTTAATTTACTCATAAATCAATATAAGAGTTCTTAATTGCAGCTGATCTATATGAAGTGTTAGTTCAATCAAAAGATTTTGATACATAGATATTGAATATTATTGTAGAAACAGTGTCAAAAGAGGAGAATCAAAATTAGGATTGCTTAGAGTTTCTAACAAATCTCAAATAAAACTATTCCTAGAATTATTATTAAATTGGAAATATATCACTGTTGTAAAATCTAAAATAATTAGAAGTTTTTGAATAGAATATTAATTAAATTATTCATTTAATCAAAATGATAATAAAGCATGATTTTCATTCTATTAATTATTCAACTGAAATATACACTGAAACTAGATAATATCTCATTTAAAAAATATAATAAGAGGTTAAAATAATTGAATTTTTGAAATTCTTAATACATCTTACAAAAATTGATAAAAAATTTATTATAAGTGGCTCTAATGCACTAAACATATTGTTTGAAATGAAGGTGGTTCTTAAAAACTAAAATTTTGAAAATATCAGAATTGAAAATACTAATTTATTTGGGGGCAATTTTGTTAAATGCAAGTTATCTAAATCTTAATTTAAGAATGTGAATATAAATGGAATTAATTTAAATGGAGCTTAATTATTTAATTGTAATTGGAAAGAATTAAAAATAAGCGATTTATATAAATTGGATGGTCATACTCATTGTGTCTAGTCAGTCTGTTTCTCTCCAGATGGAAATACATTAGCTTCTGGTAGTGGTGATAACTCTATCCGTCTATGGGATGTCAAAACAGGATAAGAAAAAGCCAAATTAGATGGTCATACTCATTAGGTAACGTCAATCTGTTTCTCTCCTGATGGAAATACATTAGCTTCTAGTAGTTATGATAAGTCTATCCGTCTATGGGATGTCAAAACAGGATAATAAAAAGCCAAATTAGATGGTCATGATGAAGCTGTAATATCAGTCTGTTTCTCTCCTGATGGAAATAAATTAGATTCTGGTAGTTATGAAAATTCTATCCGTTTATGGGATTTCAAAACAGGATAATAGAAACCCCAATTACATTATCATAACTATTCATTAAACTCAGTCTACTTCTCTTTAAATGGAAATATATTAAAGATTCAAAAATAAGGGGTGAAAAAATTATGTAAAGAAAATTTAAATTAAATGAACACAACATCATTCTTTTTAAATCATATAGTATATTATGATAGATTTACTTAATTGATAATTATTTATAAATAGATTGGTATTAAAAGTTATAATTAATAGTGTTAACATTCAGTTTTTATTCATAAATAGTATGAGAGTTAAAACATACATCCAAAGGAGCAACTTTCAAGAATCTTTAAATAGATCCAGAACACTTTTATCTTCAAGATGGTACTAAAGAGAAATTAATATCAAGGCAAGAATATTACTTATAAAAGCTTACCTTCTTCAAATGAAATATTATTCGAATCCATAAGCATTTAAAATTTACAGTTTAATTAGCACATTAGGAAATTATCAATTTGTGATGAACCAAAAAATTTAGATCCATTCTTCTTAAATTAAAATTCATTATATAAAAGTGAATTGTAATTTTCCATCATTAGAAGTTTATACATTCTAGTTCCCTTCAAATTACCAAAAAAATATTAAGAATTCATATCAAAACTATTGAATAAATTGGAGAAAAATATTTTAAACTTTATAAGTAATATATTTATAAAATTATCAATTGGTTTTGATCAATACATGATATAAATTTTGAGGAACACAAAAGGGAAATTTAAGATATATTCCAATCTTTAAAAGGGTTATCTTAAAAATTACAATTTATTTTAACAAGAAAAATGTATTTATCAATTATATAACTCAAATCAAGTAGAAAATAATTATTTATTCTATAATAATAAAGAATTAAGCAATGCATGTGTTTAAAGGATTTTTCAAAACAATATTTTACATCAATTACAATCAATTCCAGANAAGGTTTTGGATGTGGGATATTGATGATAGACAAACAGACATACAAGTATTAACAGTAACAGCTGATAGGATGACTGAAAAAGTCATTTATGATGGTAATGCCCAAGCTTGAAATACATCTTGCAAAATTATCTGATTAATTGGTTTCCGGATTGAAATTTTATAACAGAGGAGGGAATAGTTTAGACCATTATCATATGTCAATCATTAAAATATAAGCCTTTTACGCTTTTTGATTATCTATATTCATTTATATAATAATAATTTTCTGTCATAGGAGAACTTATATGAGTAAAAATTTTTTTTAGAATTTATGAATAATTGAATTATTTTCAATAAATAATATTTTATTAAAATCAACTTTGAGAATAAAATATTGAGAATTGAGATTATGTTTTATAAACAAAAACAAAAGATTTTATTTACAATATTTAATAAGTAAAATTAACTGAAAGTATTTCTGAAATTTTGTGCCAAATCGTCAAGCATATTTTTTTAAGAATTAATCAAGAGAATTATGTCTACTCAGTCTGTTTTTCTCCTGATGGAAATGCATTAGCTTCTGGTAGTTATGAAAACTCTATCCGTTTATGGGATTTCAAAACAGGATAATCGAAACCCCGATTACATTATCATAATTATTCATTAAACTCAGTCTACTTCTCTTTATATGGAAATATATTAAAGAGGCAAAAATAAGGGGTGAAAAAATAATGTAAAGAAAATTTAAATTAAATGAACACAACATCATTCTTTTTAAATCATATAGTATATTATGATAGATTTACTTAATTGATAATTATTTATAGATTGGTATTAAAAGTTATAATTAATAGTGTTAACATTCAGTTTTTATTCATAAATAGTATGAGAGTTTATACATACATCCAAAGGAGCAACTTTCAAGAATCTTTAAATAGATCCAGAACACTTTTATCTTCAAGATGGTACTAAAGAGAAATTAATATCAAGGCAAGAATATTACTTATAAAAGCTTACCTTCTTCAAATAAAATATTATTTGAATTCATAAGCATTTAAAATTTTCTGTTTAATTAGCACAATTTGTGATGAACCAAAAAATTTAGATCCATTCTTCTTAAATTAAAATTCATTATATAAAAGTGAATTGTAATTTTCCATCATTGGAAGTTATACATTCTAGTTCCCTTCAAATTACCAAAAAAATATTAAGAATTCATAACAAAACTAATGAATAAATTGGAGAAAAATATTTAAACTTTATAAGTAATATATTTATAAAATTATCAATTGGTTTTGATCAATACATGATATAAATTTTGAGGAACACAAAAGGGAAATTTAAGATATATTCCAATCTTTAAAAGGGTTATCTTAAAAATTACAATTTATATTAACATGAAAAATGTATTTATCAATTATATAACTCTAATCAAGTAGAAAATAATTATTTATTCTATAATAATAAAGAATTAAACAATGCATGTGTTTAAAGGATTTTTCAATACAATATTTTACATCAATTACAATCAATTCCAAATCTACACGAAGTCTGAACTTTTATTTTGCAAAAATAAAGAAGATACATTTATCGATTATGCAGTATATAACTTTTAGTTAGAGTGATAGAAATTCAATATTAATAATAAAAAAGAAAATGCAGGGCCCTTTTGAAGATAAGGAAGCTCTAGCTGACATCTTTACTTAAGTAAAAGATGTAGATGAACAACTATTTGGTGTCATATTAGAAATATTAAGAAAGGAGAAAGTTAAAGATTGCATTGGATTTTTGTCAGATAATGGGAATCAGAAACAATTAGAATCTTAAATGTTAAAACAAGGGAATTTCACCTAAGCTGATACAGAATAGAAATTGTCTGTAGTTAGAAAAGACATGATATAAATTACAGATGTCTTAAAAAAATTAAAAGATCATGACTTCAATAACAAAGACTTTTCAACTGAAGAAAATTATGAATCTACCCTAGATCTAATTAAAATAATAAAGGATGAGAGATAGGCCATAAAATTCCTGATATTTTTAGTTCACCTCACAGCAATAGATGAGCGATTCATCCGATGTGGATCAAATTCACTATACTTATTAGTTGAAATGAAGGCAGATTTGACAAAAAAGAATTTTGAAAATATAAAGATTTCAAACACTTAGTTGATTGGAGCTAATTTTGTAAGATGTAATTTGAATGGATCTCATTTTGAAAATGTAGATATAAGTGGAATGAACTTAAGTGGTGCCTAATTGTTTTATTGCAAATGGAAAAATATTAAAATTAATGAATTAAATATTTTTGATTGTCAGGAGGGAAGTGTCAAATCTATATGTTTTTCTCCTGATTGCAGTACAATAGCATTATGTTGTAAGGACAAGTCTATCCTTTTATAGGATATAAAAACAGGAAAAGAAAAATTTAAGTTTGATAATCATAGTGATTGGGTNTGTGGAATTTTTATAAGCATACGAAATTAATACTGTAAGGTTTTGGATGTGGGATATTGATGATAGACAAACAGACATACAAGTATTAACAGTAACAGCTGATAGGATGACTGAAAAAGTCATTTATGATGGTAATGCCCAAGCTTGAAATACATCTTGCAAAATTATCTGATTAATTGGTTTCCGGATTGAAATTTTATAACAGAGGAGGGAATAGTTTAGACCATTATCATATGTCAATCATTAAAATATAAGCCTTTTACGCTTTTTGATTATCTATATTCATTTATATAATAATAATTTTCTGTCATAGGAGAACTTATATGAGTAAAAATTTTTTTTAGAATTTATGAATAATTGAATTATTTTCAATAAATAATATTTTATTAAAATCAACTTTGAGAATAAAATATTGAGAATTGAGATTATGTTTTATAAACAAAAACAAAAGATTTTATTTACAATATTTAATAAGTAAAATTAACTGAAAGTATTTCTGAAATTTTGTGCCAAATCGTCAAGCATATTTTTTTAAGAATTAATCAAGAGAATTATGTCTACTCAGTCTGTTTTTCTCCTGATGGAAATGCATTAGCTTCTGGTAGTTATGAAAACTCTATCCGTTTATGGGATTTCAAAACAGGATAATCGAAACCCCGATTACATTATCATAATTATTCATTAAACTCAGTCTACTTCTCTTTATATGGAAATATATTAAAGAGGCAAAAATAAGGGGTGAAAAAATAATGTAAAGAAAATTTAAATTAAATGAACACAACATCATTCTTTTTAAATCATATAGTATATTATGATAGATTTACTTAATTGATAATTATTTATAGATTGGTATTAAAAGTTATAATTAATAGTGTTAACATTCAGTTTTTATTCATAAATAGTATGAGAGTTTATACATACATCCAAAGGAGCAACTTTCAAGAATCTTTAAATAGATCCAGAACACTTTTATCTTCAAGATGGTACTAAAGAGAAATTAATATCAAGGCAAGAATATTACTTATAAAAGCTTACCTTCTTCAAATAAAATATTATTTGAATTCATAAGCATTTAAAATTTTCTGTTTAATTAGCACAATTTGTGATGAACCAAAAAATTTAGATCCATTCTTCTTAAATTAAAATTCATTATATAAAAGTGAATTGTAATTTTCCATCATTGGAAGTTATACATTCTAGTTCCCTTCAAATTACCAAAAAAATATTAAGAATTCATAACAAAACTAATGAATAAATTGGAGAAAAATATTTAAACTTTATAAGTAATATATTTATAAAATTATCAATTGGTTTTGATCAATACATGATATAAATTTTGAGGAACACAAAAGGGAAATTTAAGATATATTCCAATCTTTAAAAGGGTTATCTTAAAAATTACAATTTATATTAACATGAAAAATGTATTTATCAATTATATAACTCTAATCAAGTAGAAAATAATTATTTATTCTATAATAATAAAGAATTAAACAATGCATGTGTTTAAAGGATTTTTCAATACAATATTTTACATCAATTACAATCAATTCCAAATCTACACGAAGTCTGAACTTTTATTTTGCAAAAATAAAGAAGATACATTTATCGATTATGCAGTATATAACTTTTAGTTAGAGTGATAGAAATTCAATATTAATAATAAAAAAGAAAATGCAGGGCCCTTTTGAAGATAAGGAAGCTCTAGCTGACATCTTTACTTAAGTAAAAGATGTAGATGAACAACTATTTGGTGTCATATTAGAAATATTAAGAAAGGAGAAAGTTAAAGATTGCATTGGATTTTTGTCAGATAATGGGAATCAGAAACAATTAGAATCTTAAATGTTAAAACAAGGGAATTTCACCTAAGCTGATACAGAATAGAAATTGTCTGTAGTTAGAAAAGACATGATATAAATTACAGATGTCTTAAAAAAATTAAAAGATCATGACTTCAATAACAAAGACTTTTCAACTGAAGAAAATTATGAATCTACCCTAGATCTAATTAAAATAATAAAGGATGAGAGATAGGCCATAAAATTCCTGATATTTTTAGTTCACCTCACAGCAATAGATGAGCGATTCATCCGATGTGGATCAAATTCACTATACTTATTAGTTGAAATGAAGGCAGATTTGACAAAAAAGAATTTTGAAAATATAAAGATTTCAAACACTTAGTTGATTGGAGCTAATTTTGTAAGATGTAATTTGAATGGATCTCATTTTGAAAATGTAGATATAAGTGGAATGAACTTAAGTGGTGCCTAATTGTTTTATTGCAAATGGAAAAATATTAAAATTAATGAATTAAATATTTTTGATTGTCAGGAGGGAAGTGTCAAATCTATATGTTTTTCTCCTGATTGCAGTACAATAGCATTATGTTGTAAGGACAAGTCTATCCTTTTATAGGATATAAAAACAGGAAAAGAAAAATTTAAGTTTGATAATCATAGTGATTGGGTATTTTCGGCATGTTTCTCTCCTGATGGCACAACATTAGCCTCTTGTAGTAAGGATAAGTCTATTTTGTTGTGGGATCTTAAGGCTGGATAACAAATATTGAAATTTGATGGTCATAATGATTGGGTTTATTCTGTTTGTTTCTCTCCTGATGGCACAATATTAGCCTCTTGTAGTAAGGATAAGTCTATCATCTTATGGGATGTCAAGACAAGGTAAGAAAAATTTCATCTAAATGGACATAGAAATGATGTAAATTCTGTATGCTTCTCTCCTGATGGGACAACAATAGCATCCAGTAGTAGGGACAAGTCTATTCTTTTATGGGATGTTCAAACAGGATAATAAAAAGCTAAATTGGATTGCCATAGTGATTATGTTAGATCAGTCTGTTTCTCTCCAGACAGTACTACATTAGCGTCTTGTAGTAAGGATAAGTATATTAGAGTATGGGATGTTAAAACAAGACAAGAAAAATCTCAATTATTTTGGCACAGAAAAAATATATCTTCAGTCTGCTTTTCTTCTGATGCTATTTTATTATCATATAGTTGTAAAGATGAGTCTATTCATATGTGGGATGTGAAGGCAGGTTAATAGCAATCTAAATAATTTGAAGGCCATAACAATGATATTTATTGTGTATGCTTTTCTCCTGACGGAAGAATATTGGCATCTAGTGGTAGGGATAGATTAATTTGGCTGTGGGATGTTATAACAGGAAAATTAAAAATGAAATTAGAAGGACATAAAGATTGCATACGTACAGTTTCATTTTCTCCAAATGGAGATGAAATAGCATCAGGCAGTAATGATAACCTAATCATATTATGGGATTCTAAAACAGGATAACTAATTAGGAAATTAGAAGGTCACAATGGAATTGTCTTGTCAATATGCTTTTCTCCTTCAGGTTCTATATTAGCATCTGGTAGTCGAGACAACTCTATTTATTTATGGAATACATAGACAGGTTAACAATAATCATAACTATATTTTAATGAAGGTTATGTTCAATCATTATGCTTTTCTCCTGATGGTACTACATTATCATCTGGTAGTTCAGATAGTTTTTTATGTGTATGGACTGTGAAAACAGGAAAAGAAATAGTTAAAAAAGATTGTTAAATTGGAATTATTTTTTCTGTATAATTTTCACCAGATGGCACTACTTTAGGATCTGGTAGCGAAGATAATTCTGTTCGCTTATGGAATTCTAAGACAGGGGAACAAAAATTAAAATTGTTTGGACATAGCAGTTATGTTAGAACAGTTTCATTCTCCCCTGATGGTACAACTTTGGCATCTGGTAGTGATGATTATTCTATTCGTATATGGAATATAAAAACAGGTTAAGAAAAATCTAAATTAGATGGTCATCATGACTGCGTATTATCAGTATGTTTCTCGCAAGATGGAAAAAAACTTGCTTCTAGTGGAATTGATGTATCTATCTTTATCTGGGATGTATAAGAAAAATTCACCTTGGATAGTCTGTAAGATTATATGTCTTTATCATGCATTTCACCAGATGGAAATACATTAGCTTCTGGTAGTTATGATAAGTCTATCCGTCTGTTGGATGTTACAACAGGATAATAAAAAGCCAAATTGGATGGTCATACTAGTGCCATCATGTCACTAGGTTTCTCACCTGATGGAAACACATTAGCTTCTGGTAGTTATGATAAGTCTATCCGTCTATGGGATGTTACAATAGGATAATAAAAAGCCAAATTGGATGGTCATGCTGGTCCTGTCTACTTAGTCTGTTTCTCTACTGATGAAATTACACTAGCTACTTGCAGTCAAGACAATTCTCTCCGTTTATGGGATATAAAAATGGGATATTAAAAGGCCATTTTAAATGGTCATACTTAGCCTGTCTACTCTATTTCTTTCTCTTCTGATGGAACTAAATTAGTAGGTTGTAGTAGTGATAAGTCTATCCGTCTATGGGATGTCAAAACAGGATAATAAAAAGCCAAATTAGATGGTCATGATGAAGCTGTAATATCAGTCTGTTTTTCTCCTGATGGAAATACATTAGCTTCTGGTAGTTATGATAACTCTATCCGTCTATGGGATGTCAAAACAGGATAATAAAAAGCCAAATTAGATGGTCATACTAGTACTGTCTACTCAGTCTGTTTCTCTCCTGATGGAAATACATTAGCTTCTGGTAGTAATGATAAGTCTATCCGTCTATGGGATGTCAAAACAGGATAATAAAAAGCCAAATTAGATGGTCATACTAGTACTGTCTACTCAGTCTGTTTCTCTCCTGATGGAAATACATTAGCTTCTGGTAGTAATGATAAGTCTATCCGTCTATGGGATGTCAAAACAGGATAATAAAAAGCCAAATTAGATGGTCATACTAGTACTGTCTACTCAGTCTGTTTCTCTCCTGATGGAAATACATTAGCTTCTGGTAGTAATGATAAGTCTATCCGTCTATGGGATGTCAAAACAGGATAATAAAAAGCCAAATTAGATGGTCATACTAGTACTGTCTACTCAGTCTGTTTCTCTCCTGATGGAAATACATTAGCTTCTGGTAGTAATGATAAGTCTATCCGTCTATGGGATGTCAAAACAGGATAATAAAAAGCCAAATTAGATGGTCATACTAGTACTGTCTACTCAGTCTGTTTCTCTCCTGATGGAAATACATTAGCTTCTGGTAGTAATGATAAGTCTATCCGTCTATGGGATGTCAAAACAGGATAATAAAAAGCCAAATTAGATGGTCATACTAGTACTGTCTACTCAGTCTGTTTCTCTCCTGATGGAAATACATTAGCTTCTGGTAGTAATGATAAGTCTATCCGTCTATGGGATGTCAAAACAGGATAATAAAAAGCCAAATTAGATGGTCATACTAGTACTGTCTACTCAGTCTGTTTCTCTCCTGATGGAAATACATTAGCTTCTGGTAGTAATGATAAGTCTATCCGTCTATGGGATGTCAAAACAGGATAATAAAAAGCCAAATTAGATGGTCATACTAGTACTGTCTACTCAGTCTGTTTCTCTCCTGATGGAAATACATTAGCTTCTGGTAGTAATGATAAGTCTATCCGTCTATGGGATGTCAAAACAGGATAATAAAAAGCCAAATTAGATGGTCATACTAGTACTGTCTACTCAGTCTGTTTCTCTCCTGATGGAAATACATTAGCTTCTGGTAGTAATGATAAGTCTATCCGTCTATGGGATGTCAAAACAGGATAATAAAAAGCCAAATTAGATGGTCATACTAGTACTGTCTACTCAGTCTGTTTCTCTCCTGATGGAAATACATTAGCTTCTGGTAGTAATGATAAGTCTATCCGTCTATGGGATGTCAAAACAGGATAATAAAAAGCCAAATTAGATGGTCATACTAGTACTGTCTACTCAGTCTGTTTCTCTCCTGATGGAAATACATTAGCTTCTGGTAGTAATGATAAGTCTATCCGTCTATGGGATGTCAAAACAGGATAATAAAAAGCCAAATTAGATGGTCATACTAGTACTGTCTACTCAGTCTGTTTCTCTCCTGATGGAAATACATTAGCTTCTGGTAGTGATGATAAGTCTATCCGTCTATGGGATGTCAAAACAGGATAATAAAAAGCCAAATTAGATGGTCATACTAGTACTGTCTACTCAGTCTGTTTCTCTCCTGATGGAAATACATTAGCTTCTGGTAGTAGTGATTAGTCTATCCGTCTATGGGATGTCAAAACAGGAGGAGAAGAAATTTAATCCTCGGATAACAGATATAAAGAGATTTTAGAAAATTGCAAGATCTCTTTGTTATAAAATAATTCTTTTATATGTATTTAATATTTATACTATTTAGTTACATCTAATATTACTATTCTTCGAATATCCCAAACACCAATATTTTAAACATAAAGAGCTTTTGTCCTTTAGGGAGAGTTTATTAATTAGTAAGGCTTTAATTTAAGACCATTATTATAATAAAGAGGAAGTTGCATTTTGGAAAGCTGTATGCAAAAATGACATATAATTATTTTTTATAATGACCAAATATATATTTATGGTAGTTTTTTTCAGTATTTATATGTTTTTGTTTTACATTTTATTGAATTTTGTTTGTTAGACAATTTATTATTAAAAACTAAAATTTATTTTAATACCTGCTGATAATTCCTAAAAATTATTGTTATGGAATTGTAATAATGAAAGAATTAAATTTCAATATGAGCTTAATTGATGAGTATTAAGGTAGCTAAAATTACCTACATTATTTTCTCTTCTTCTTTTACCTCCGGTGGCATAGGGGGATGCACCCCCTATTTACCCCTGCTGACTGTTGAAGAAGGTGAGAAGATTAACAATTTATGTGTTATGCTATAAAATTAATAGGATAAAGAAATAATGATGAATTTTTGAAATAGTGGTGAGTACTATATTATATAACTATATTAGATGTAACAATAAGGTGTTAACCAATATGCTTAGAATTGTATCTGCTATAAAATGATGTATAATATGTATGTAATTATAAATCCATAAATTTTTACCTATTTTCCCTCAGTGGTGTTACCTTTTTAGGGTTTGGGTTTGGGTTTGTAGTAGTGATAAGTCTATCCGTCTATGGGATGTTAAAACAGGACAATAAAAAGCCAAATTAGATGGTCATAGTGATTATGTTATGTCAGTCTGTTTCTCTCCTGATGGAAATACATTAGCTTCTGGTAGTTGGGATAACTCTATCCGTCTATGGGATGTCAAAACAGGATAATAAAAAGCCAAATTAGATGGTCATAGTGGATATGTCAACTCAGTCTGTTTCTCTCCTGATGGAAATACATTAGCTTCTGGTAGTGATAATAAGTCTATCCATCTATGGGATGTCAAAACAGGATAATAAAAAGCCAAATTAGATGGTCATAGTGGATATGTCTACTCAGTCTGTTTCTCTCCTGATGGAAATATATTAGCTTCTGGTAGTAGAGATAACTCTATCCGTCTATGGGATGTCAAAACAGGATAATAAAAAGCCAAATTAGATGGTCATTCATATGCTGTAAAGTCAGTCTGTTTCTCTCCAGATGAAAATACATTAGCTTCTGGTAGTGATAAAAAGTCTATCCATC